CAGATCAAGGTCCCCATGGTGAGGGAGGGGAGTGGGGCTGGGATAGGGGCTGCCCAGCCAGGACGGGGCATGGGGCAGGACAGAAATGCAGGCAGCTAAACTGGGGGGGGGAGGAGAGTAGGGGCAGCTCCTTGCTCTGCACGCATCCTGGGGGAGACATGGGGGGGGCATGTGCCCCCTGGGTTTGTGTGCACAGCAAGGGTAGGCTGCCTGCTACAGCCACTTCCTGGTGGGGGGCAGGGGGAGGGGCTAGGCCAAGGCTGTGTTCAGGGTTGGGTGAGCAGTAGTGGTGTTGGGAGGTTATGGGATGGGGTACAGTCACCCCAACATTTACTGTAGCCACACCATAGCCCCCCTCCCAGTGCCGCTGCCACCATATGCCCTGCCCCTACCTAGCCCCCACACCAGGAAGAGGCTGGTACAGCCCCCAGACCATAGCGTGAAGCCCAGCCTTGTCCTATGCACAAATCCAGGGGGGGCACATGCCTCTCATGCCTCCCACAGGGTGTGTGCAGTGGCGGGACCCACCCCGCCCTCCTGGACAAACCACTTGCGGCTTCGTTCTGCACCTTGCTTTATCTTGGCTGGGCAGCTCTTGCCCCTGCCTGTGCTCCATTCCCTCCTTCCCTCCCCTTCCATGAGGACCTTGATCTGCTCCCCCACGCTTCTTCTCTCCCCCCCTTGCCCCTTCCCCACCCAGAGACATACTGGCCAGACGTTGCTCTCCTGGCTGCGCGCATGCACGTGGCATTTATCTGTGATATTATTGGCCACATCGGCCAAAAAAAGCCAATTGCTGATGACATCAATTTTCCTTTTATCAGTGCTGATACAATATGGACCAATGTATTGGTGCACTTCTACGCAGCACTCCAGGATGTCACTTGTATATAGATGCAAGGCAAGACCATGCGGGTGTCCTACTTAACTCCTGAGCTGGAAAAAATATACCATAGTGCTGTACCTGGCTAACTGGCTCCATTTCTCAGCAGTGCTTGGGTGCAGCACTGCATGAATGTGACTGACAGCTTCTGGCTTGCAATCTAGTGCCCACTAAGCTAGCTTGGGTACTGCTACACAGTGCCGCCTATGCAGACCAGTGATTCTCAGCTAGGGTTCCCTGGCACCCTAGGTTGTCTTGACATCTTTTCATGGGGTCATACCGTGTTAGCTCTGTTACATGTGCAAACATGATTCACAAAATAAACTCAGCAATTTCAAATAGGAATGTTCACCTGCTGTGTTCTCTCTGAGTTCTTTGCAACAAAAAAGTTGCTCTGTTATCTTTCTATAGTGAAGAATAAATGAAAACTAAGCTGGAATTGTCTGAGGGGTGCCTTGAGTCTAATGAGGTTGAGAACCACTCATGTAGACCTATGCTGTGAGTTTGAGCCAAGCCCACAAACTCCTCTCTGCTGTGGTGCCCCCAAAAACATGAAAAATGAGTAGAGATCTGGTGCAATGTGATGGCTCCTTATGCTGACTAACTGCACCTCAGTTTCTTTAGAGAACTCCAACTGTGCTTGTATGCATCTCTGCACAGGCTGAAGAGAGCCAGTCCTCTGCAATGTGGGGTATTTCCTGCTTTGCAGATCAGACCACATACCTGAAGGTAGCTAGGAGTCTGTTTTACAACACACATACTCAAACCTGGGCCTACAGGACAGATCTGGCCCCCAGTGCAGTGTCATCTGTCCTGCGGAGCTCTCCACAGGTTTGTGGGTAGCCCCAAGGCTGTAACCCTGCATGCTAGACTGGGCACAAGGGGCTGGGTGGGGCTCTGAGGCCTGATACCAGCTCCTAGGACTGGGCTGAAACAGCACAAGACTCCAAGACCCAATTCCAGCACATGGATCCAGGCAGTGGTGGCCTGGGGCCCAATCCTGACACACGGGGTATGACAGAGGCATCATAAGATCCAAGAAAAGGAATAAAATTGTGGAAGGGGATCATGAGACAGACCTGGTATGACTAACAGTGGCAAAAAATTTCAGGATGAGGAAGGCTACTTTCCAGATTTGAACTAAGCTTATCCTAGAGGTTCAGCGAGCCCAGCAGCATGAGGCTTCCCTTGTCTTTGGAGTAACACCTAATGGCAACCTACCAAAGTCAGAAAGACGGGAATGATGGTTTAAGACTTGCATTGGCAGCCAACATCTGTGGGCCACACCTGCCCCACAAGTTTTCTCAGTTTTTAGAGGCACATTTTTCAGCAGAAGCTGTATTACAGGAGCAAGAAAGCAGTTCTTTGCAGACCTGGGACAGTGGCAGATTGGTGGCCTGCAGTGGTAGCCATGTTGTAAGTGCAGGCCCAGCGCTAGTAAAAGGCTGCCAACTCTTAGTTTTAAGCAATCAGCTTATGCCACCTATTCCAGAATGGCAGTAGCCAGAGACACCTAGCCCGGGGCACTTTATGTACCTATTTGACCCACATGGCCTAAATGTCTGATGCAGTGGTTGTTGGCTCCAGCTTGGAGATTCAGTTTTTGGGAGCCCCTTTTGTAGCCATGAACCTGTAAGCAGAACACAGTACATTTGGGCTGGTTTGGAGTTTCAGTGTTATCAGTTTCCTGGGGTTGCTATGCTATTTCCTATGTGCTTTGCTGATTTACAAATACTGCTCACTTGAAAGTTCATGCCCGGAACATCTTTAGTCATATGGGGCTGTGCTCTGTATACACTTTAGCTTAGGACAGGGATGGACAATTATCTGGGCTGGAGGGGCACTTAGGGAGTTTTGGTGAGCTCGACATCTCCCCCTCCCAAAAGCTCACCAAAACTCCCTAAGTGGCCCAGATACAATTCTTCTTCAGAGGAACAGCCGTGGGATTGACAGTATTATTTGGCAGGCCAGAACCAGCCTGCAGGCTGTATTTTGCTGACCCCTAGCTAGGAGATTTAGGCAGCACGTGCACAGGGGTTGCTTGCTTCACATGTTTTAGCTACTTTATGAGGGTCCAGATTTCTTTACCTTCTTGGTTTATTTGGCCAGTTTGAAAGCTGAAATACCATGGCATGAATATAATCAAGCTGTTTTTAAATGGGAAGCATGACCTTTATTTTTCCATTAACTATGAACAGAAAGCACAAAAATTAAATGCAGGGAGGGGAAAACCTGGAGATAACTATGCCTTTAAACACCTTGGGCAATAAACAAGTTATCAGTGCAACTTGGGAGGGAGGAGGAGGAGGAACATCTAACTTTAAAAAAGTGCAAAAAAAAAAAGTGAAAAAAAAAATAAAAAAAGCAAATAGCAGGCAAAGTTCAGGCTGCACGTGAAGGGCACTTGGAGAAATGCTTAAAAGAACTTTAAAGTCTGTGGGTAAGGGAGGCAGAAATGGTCTGATGCTTTGAGGGGTCAAATCACGCTGTCCTCTCTTGCCTACAGGTTAGCTTTGGCTGGGAGCCCTGCAATGAGCAAAAGGAGGCACTCTCAAAGGCATGGTCAACTGGAGTGGACAGATCTCAGATGCTGCAGACTAGTAAGGAAGGCCAGGGAGCAGGCAGAGGCTAAACAGTGTGTAGGGCCCAACCTGTTTAGTCCCCTAGACCAGTGGTTCTCAACCTTTTTGTACAAGGACACATTTGTAAACACCAGCCTGCAAGGGAAACCCCACAGTTCCCCACATTTTCCTTCTGTAAATGAGAATCCATTTTTAAAGTTTGTTGGTAACCCTTTCATACATTCTTGAGACCTATTTTTGTGTTCTAACCCATGGGTTGAGAAATGCTGCCCTAGACTATCTGCTGATGAATACTCCTTCCACTAGTACATGCTTTACCTGTTGCTTTACTCCCAACATTTTCCCTGGAAAGCACTAAATGTGCCTTGGCTACAACTTCCTCTTGACTTAAAGCTTTCACTCCACTGCAATCTTCTCTGCAAACATCATGCTTCTTGAAGTTCACCTCCATTATCAATCATCTACCCACAATTCAAGGCCTATAAGCTCCATGAAAATTTGCTTTCTGTAAGTCCTCAAGATCAGCAGTAACAGAATCATTGCCAGCACCAGTCTAAGTCTGGAAGCTGCAGGTGCCAACCCTAAACATCAAGAACAGTAACAAGCGTTTACTGACTACTGTTCCATTCCTATGGTCTCAGAAAAATTATCTTCTTCCTCTGCTTTTAGGAAAACCATCTCCAGAGCCTCTTCCCAATTTGGGAATGCCCTGGAGATACTAAATCCTTTCTAAGCTTTCCTCCTGCCTTGTTTGCCATGCAGGTATGTTTATTCTTGCAGTCAACATACACTGTAAGCCTGTGCTGAAGGAAGGAGATGCTACTTTTCTATGTATGGCTTGCACTGCTAGGACTTAGCACATTCTGTATCTCTCATTCAATTGTCTCTAGTTTTGGCTGTATGGGCTGCCAATGCTCTCCCGCAGCTATTGCTGGTGTTAACCAGGCTCCCAAGCAGACAGTGATAACCAGCAACTCCTGGCTACTGGGAACCTTCTCATGAAGAAGTTCTGCTGCGTGCAATGTCACCCAGCTCCTCCCTGAACTCTGCCACCAAGGGTGGCTTGATGTTAAGAGCCACTGTCTCAGCAGTGTGGGCAGCCAGCTCTGAGCCCGGGTGGCAGCTGTGGAGTCTGCCCTTCTCCTAGGCCAGCACAAGGTCCCAGGCTATTCTGTCTCATGCTGCTGGCCCATCGAGCCGGCGTTCCTGCACCCCCATCTCTGCCTGCATTGGTGTGGCCAACCCTCAGCATGTGTCACAAGTAGCAACGGTAGCCCCTGAGAGTGGCAGGCAGGGAGGGGACGGGCAGGCAGCGGGAAGCAGAGCACAGGGCACCCCGGGAAACAGAAAGCCGAGCAGCAGGTCAGGTGGGGAGCATAGGGCAGGGAGCAGACAGCAGAGGCGGATCGGGGGAGGGAGCACAAGGCAGGGAGCCGCTAGCGGAGCAGCAG